ATAATGATTTTGCTAAATGTTTTTATTACCCTTAAGAATAAATTAATAATAATTTATTTTAAAATTAAGAGAAAAAAAAATTCAAATTCAAATTGAAGGTTTTTAAATGTTGAACTGGTTAATTTAATTCTCAAGTGTTAATCTGGTCTTTGACACCTTTTTTTGTCGTAAAAATTAATAAAAAGGTAATATTATAATTAATTAAAGTTAAAATATATATAATACATTATTATTATTATTATTATTAATGAGAAAAAGTTTGTTTTTGAACGAGGGGGGGAAATGGGGGTGGGTGGACCTTTTCCAAAATCCAATTGTTTATTTAACACGATTTTGACATTTCCCTTCCTCCCTCTCTACTCTTAATAGTTTAAAATCCATTTGATAGTTTTTTTTTTTTTTTTTAATTATGAAATGATAATTTTTTATCATTTAAAAAAAATTAAATAAAGTTTTCGGTTGCCATTTCCTTCTTCCAATGAAACTCACTCACTCATGGTTGACTAGATTTTCACTGAAAACAGCTTTCACGTCGCTCGAAGCACCCCAACTAAATCCTACCTGGGCTCCTCCATTTGTTTTTCTCTTATATACATATACTTTACAGTAACAGGTTTGAAATTAAAGCGCACCTGCAAATGCCTTAAGCTTTTAAATTCTCTTATTTTCAATTATTACTTGTTTGGGGGCCACCGATTGCGACATTTTCCGTACTTGATACCCGGCCACCTAGATTGATTTCTGACGACGTGTTTTCTTTTTTCTTTTTGGGGGCATTTTAATGCAGAAAATCCCACCCCCCCGCAAAATGTTAGAGGCTAACCTTTGTATTTTTTTGACTTCAGGAAAAAATTCCATCTGCATGTGTTTATATTTATTTCCTGTGGGTTCATTTATTCATTTATTTATTTCATTGTCCATTTGATAAAAAAGGTTGACATTTGTAACAAGATCTAAAACTCTTATCATGCTTTATACAAAACAGATTTATAAGCATTTTTTCATTTTTTGATTTAATCATCATTTATAAAACAAAAAACCGTTTGTAATGATTCATTGTTTTTTTTTTTTTCATTTATTATTATAGGATTTACTGGAGAAATTGTTTAAATTATTCGACGAAAATAGAGATGGAATTTTGGTACAAGAAGAATGGGTGGAGTTTCTTAAATTACGTCTCACGTGAGTATTTTTCTCCATATAAAGAAAAAATGATAATTATTTATTAATAAATGATGAAGAGCATTGAAAAACATGAATTTTTAAAATAATGCAATGCATAATTACCAGACAACCATTTTCTTTTTAACATTTAAAAAAATATTAATATCAGTAATTATTTTCAAAATCATTTTAAGGGGAATTTGTCATTTTATACCATTTCTAAAAACACAAACGAAATGAATACCTGTATAATATTAATCTCAAAGGAATTTTAACAGGGTTTTTCTCTCATGATACTTAAAAATTATGCAAGTTTAAAAGAAAAAAAAAAAATTACAGCCGCTAGTTAAAATTATACATACCAAAAAGCCGAAAAAATTTTTTTTTTTTTTTAAATTACCTTCTTCCAAAAGATTTTTTTTCACACCTGGATAAAATTTGTTGTTTTTTTATTTTTTATTTTTAAACCTGACCACAAAACAATTTCACGTACACATAAATTCATTTTAAAAGCGTTTATTGTTAATACGACCGAACGCCTAAAATAAAAAAAAAGTTAATAAAATTTCTTTGTGAATTCTTGTTTATTATTATTATTATTATTAGAGGTTTATTGTTCGCTCGTGACTTAAATACAGGTTTTGTAGTTTAAAAAAAAGCTTTAATGTTAATTATTGTGGTTGAGTTTAAGATAAAAAGCCGAATCGAAAATTAAAATAATAAAGTGCCATTTATCACGTTGAAAAATGTTTTATTTTTTTTTTTTAAATTTCATCGAGAGTGTGGCCTTTAAGAAAAATTACACGCATTTACACTTTATTTCACGTTCTTCACATCAAAAAAATAAATTTTTATTTAATCATTATTTCACTATAACGTTTTACGATATTAAAACAATGTTAAACACTCCCGTTATTAATTATGTTAAAAAAAACTGCAAAGGTAAGTAATAAAAACAAAAGAAGGGACGATAAATTGCCGCCATTTTGTTTTTGAAGAAATTTTTTAATGAGGGAAAATTGTCGACAATTCGAGAATGAGAATCGAGTGCGAGCTTTCACGAGCTAAAATTTTTTTAACGTTGTGTCCGTTGATGTATTGTTTTTTATTTTTTCGTTTTAATAAAAATTGAGAAATGTATTTAATATTTATGTATCGAAAAATATATTTTGTTTCTATTAAAAAATTTAATTATGATTTGATTTCGGAGAAGTATTACCGTTTTAAATGTATATATTTATTAATTTTTATGGTTCTGTTATAAAGTCATTACATGTTAATATTTTGTCTTATTCGCACGACGCTTTTTTTCCAGATAAAATTAAATTTAGAAAAATTATTCAATTTAAAAAATGAAATTTATTCTTAGAAAATTTAAATTTTGAGAGAGAGAGAGAGAGAGAGAGAGAGAAAAAAAAAAGCAAAAAATTAAACAATCGAAGCCGGGGATTATTACATTTATAATAAAACATTCGAAATGTAATGTATTCATATATATTTTAAATTATTTTTAAATGATTTTCCGTTAAAAAAAAGAAAACCGATTTAGAATTTAAAAATGCTAACGATAGACAGGTAAAATTATTAACATTTATGTTTTTCCAAAAGAATTTATGTTTATGTCATTCTAATAATAAAAACTCGTGACACTCTAATTTTTAAACTCTTGCTTTACAAAAAGAAAAAAATTCAAATTTTCAATAATAATAATAATAATAATACAAAAGGAATCATATTTTTTATTAGTTAATTAATTATTTTTCATAGGGTGTTTTTCAACCTACTTGAAATAAACGTATTAATTTAAATGTTCGACGTGTATATATATATATATATAAGGATTAAAATTAGTTTCGGATATTTTAATTTAATATAAATACGATTACAAGTTTAAAAAAAAAAAAAAATGATTTACGCGATATGAAATGACTATAGTCAAAAGAAAAAAAAAAAAAAAAAATGGGCGTGGATTTTAACCTCGACCTCGTCTTTGCACACAAGTTTTTTTTTTTTTAAGGTATACCCACCACTCGTTTGTAAAAACCTCCCAAATTAATTTTTTGTACATATCAAATGACATAATCCATAACAAATAACTTTTGAAAGATGATTAAAAATTATTTTATTATTATTTAATAACGATTTTATATATGAATAAAATCTCGAGGCTAACTAATATCGTGTTTGAACTAATCGATACCCATTTCCAATCGATTAACTAATTTAATTTGATTAATTAAAAGTGTTTATGTATGTATGTATATTTAAGAATAAAAAGGGCCAATGTATTATTAACACCTTAATAAAAAAATTATTTATTTATTTATTTATTTATTAACGTAGAAAAATGAAAAAAACCTTTTCCTAATATAATTTTTTATCAATTGATAAATGTTATCAGTAAAGGAAAATACAAAAAATTTTTGATTTTAAGATGATTCTCATAATTAATCGGTTTATAAAAAAAAAAAAAACAAAACGATTAAATTAATTAAAAATTAAATATTTTAAAATGTAAATTTTTTATTTCAAGTGATAATTTATTTCCACGAGTTGTTTTCAAGAGGTTGATTTGCCACGAGCAAAATTTTAAGAAAAATTTTTATTTTTTTATTCTCGGTTTTTCAAGGCACACACACACACACACAAAAAAAAAAACAACCTACCATTATCTATCATATTGCCTCACAATATTTTTAAAATTAATTTTTTATAAAAAAAAAAAAATTATTGCGATTTTAAAATACGTTTCCTTTAAAACAAATTTTTCTACAACTCATCATCATTATCATCATTATCGTAGACGTATTAACACTAATAACTGAAGGACATTAACGATTAATAATAATAATTTCCCTTACTCCCCTCCCCCTTTTGTCAAATTATTTTTATATAAAAAAAAATTATAACGGAAAAAATTTCCTTTTTTTTTTTTTTTTTTTGAAAATGGAGTCAATAATTATTATTATTATTTAATTTATATTTTCAGGGGAGAAAAACAAATTGATTTTGCTGAACAAGTTGAAAGTGTTGCTTATGTATTATGCGGTGAAGATCCAATAACATTTGATAAATTTTGTCAAATATTTAATGCAAAAGGAGTAAGTTTTTTTTCCCCCCCCCTCCCCAATAAAGTGATGTAAGAATTGTAAATTATACGGCTAGTAAAATTAATATTATTATTATTTTTGATAACAGTCAGTAGCAGACGAAAATTACAAGTTAATATTTGCTTTAAAAAAAAAAGTTTCAAATCGTTTTCGTTTTATTATTATTATTATATTTATCTACGTTACGGTCGACATTTTATTATCTTTTATTACCCGTTTATTATTATTATTATTATTACTATTATTTTTTTTTTGTAACGGATTATTATTATTATTTTTTTTTTTTTTTTAGGTTGTCGATAAAGTTTTTAGACTAATCGATGATGATGGTGATGGCGTAGTTTCACAAAATCAAATAATGGAATTTGTTGCGAGTTTAAGCAATGCTAGGTCGGATATGGCGAAAATTTCGCCTTGGCAAATAAAATATATTTTTTTTTTATATATAAATAAAATATTATATAAAATATTTGCTGAAGGCCTAATAAAATATCGAATTTATTAACTCATAAATAAAAAAAAAAAAATACGAAAACGTTTTTACTGTTTAAATAAAATTTTTTTTTTTTTTTTTTTTTTTTTTATATACGATTATTATTATCATTATTAATATTTTTATTTGTAGAACTAGAACGGGTCTGGATAAAGAAAGTTTAAAAGGGTTGGAAAAAATATTTTGCGAAACTGTCGGAAATGAAAAAGAAATACGAAGAGAAGATTTTAATAAAATACTTTTATCTAAAAATGTATGTCAAATTTAAAACCCATTCGGATTCGTTTATAAAAAAATTTTATTTGTAATAATAATAATAATAATAATAATTTTATTGGGTAAATTTGATTTTTGTTCAGCCCTTTTTTACCGATCGAGTTTTTGAAATATTCGATAAAGATAATAGCGGTACGATATCATTGCAAGAATTTATCGATTCCATGTATCAATTTGCTGGAAAATCTCCAGATGACAAAATAAGATTTTTATTTAAAGTCTACGATCTTGATGGTATGTCGAAATTTTATTATTATTATTATTTTTTTTTTTTTTAATAAAGTAATTTTTTAATAAATAAAAATAAAAAAAAAAAAAAACATTAATAAATAAAATGCATAAAGTTAAAAACAGCAACAACAAAAAATATTCGCTTCGGTTAAAATAGAAAAAAAAAAAAAAAAAAACCTGATTGCTCCCCATGAATTTTTTTTAAAAAACAGGTACAAGTTTTTATTTTTTAGGCACATTCATACCTAATATTTATTATAAGATATTTATTCTAAATTTATCATGAAATTATATAAATAGTAATTTAAAATTTAGTACCTTGTTAAATTATACATGTATAGTTTTTTTTTTTTTTTTTTTAAATAAAATTATTTAACGGAATTTTTGTCAAAAGAAAAAAAGAGAAAAATGTTTTTGCTTTTTTTACACGCAAAAAAAATTTTTAAATTAGTGTAATTAAATTTTACGACGAAGAAAATAATAATCGAAGACGCCGACAAATAATTTTTTTTTTTTTTTGTGACTTAAGGCGATGGTTTAATTCAACATAAAGAACTTCAACATGTCATGAGAGCTTGCATGGAAGAAAATGGAATGAAATTTAGCGAAGAACAAATTGACGATTTGACTATGGCCATGTTTGAAGATGCCGATCCAAATAATCGAGGAGCCATAACGTACGAAGCCCTTAAAAATCAACTCGAAAAACATGGCGGCCTTTTAGAAAACTTAACAATCAGGTGAATATTTTATTTATAAATAGAATGTAAGGAATTATTTTTAAAAATAAATTTTTCTTTTTTTGAACAGCATCGATAGGTGGTTGGTACCGGCTAAACCGAAAGTTCAACCGACTTCATTTATGGGAAAAATAAAAAAAATAATGCCGCATCAGTTTACCATACCTTACATGAAAAATAATTATGTTTTCATAATATTCGTAGCAGGTTTTGCTCTTTTAAATACAATACTATTCATTTCTCGTTCGATTCAATACAGGAATTCAAATGGATACGTTATTGTTGCTCGAGCTTGTGGTAAGTTTAAGAGGTATATCGACGAACCTCTTGTTTGTTTATGACTATTTAAAAATTTTTTACCTCCTTTTTTTTATTATTTTAGGTCAATGTCTAAATTTCAATTGCATGTTCATATTGGTTTTGATGTTGAGACAATGTATAACTTTTTTACGTACGAGAGGTTTCAGTACCTTCTTGCCCCTCGACCAACACATTTATCTTCATAAACTCACGGGAGTTTTAATTTTTTTATACAGCGTCGTTCACACGTTAATGCATCTTATAAATTTTAGTGAGTTTATATATATGTCTGACAAGATAAAAAATGAACGAAATTTTTTTTTCATTAGCCACATTTTTATTTCAGGTACGGTTGTTCAATATGATCCTGTCATAAACGCTCAAAATTTTACGCTTACCGAATGGCTTTTGACCAGTAAACCTGGTCTTTTCGGTCTCGTCGGAGGAGCTGCTAATCCTACTGGAGTAGCTTTAATGATAATTTTATTTATTATGTTTATTTGCTCTCAAAAGTTTGTTAGACGCGGAGGATGTTTTGAGGTTTTTTTTAATTTTTATTTAAAAAAATTTTGCAAACTGAGGAAAAATCACCCTAAATGTTTTTTTTTTTTTTTTTTTTTTTGTTTGATTGAAGGTTTTCTATTGGACTCATTTATTGTACATACCATTTTGGATATTATTAATTTTTCACGGTCCAAATTTTTGGAAATGGTTCGTTGTTCCTGGAATCGTTTACATCATAGAACGTTTAATTCGAATGATTTGGCTTCAATCGGACAGGGGTAAAACTTACATAAGCTCCGGTCTTTTGTTACCCTCAAGAGTGACTCATCTTGTAATTAAAAGGCCTCCGCATTTTGATTACTATCCCGGAGATTACGTGTTTGTTAACATACCAGCAATTGCAAAATACGAATGGCATCCGTTTACGGTGAGCAGTGCTCCAGAACAGGAAGGTAAGGAAGAGGAAAAAGATACAGAAGTGATGCTGTTGGAAAAATCACAACCTTTGATCGAAATAATACTTTTAGATTACATGTGGCTTCATATCAGAGGAGTCGGAGAATGGACGAATCGTCTTTACGAGTACTTTGATAAAGAACAAGAAAAGTTACATAATGCTCAGGATCAAATAACGGCCGTTCAAACGGGAATTCACACGAATAAAAAACCTCTCGTTTTAAAAGAAGAGAAAATAATTAACGAAAAACAACCAATTAAAAAATTACAAATGTAGAATTAATTTAACAAAAAAAAAAAAAACAGACTCTTCATTTTCTATTTAATAAAATATAATCGAACTAAATTTTATTTCAGGTTGGAGAGAAAATTTTCCAATAGGGATAAAGAAAAAAATTCACCGGTACGAATAATGTCATTTAAACGTAACTTACCATCGTCGAATGCCGCCGTCGGACTCGTAAATGAAGGTTTCGATACGAGTAATGATGTGGTATCACCACAATCGAATTCGGAAGGAGATTTGTCTTGTAATAAATCCATAGTTCAAATCCGGAAACCCCCACCTGAAAAAAAACTTCCGCTTTTATTGATGTCTAAAAAACAACCATTAGAAAAAAGTCAATCAATGCCAGATATTCAAACTCGTTTAAAAAAAAGAGAAAGGCTTTTGGCGTTCGTATTCATTCATTCATTCATTCATTCAAATGTCGACAATCTAAAAATAATGATAATAATAATAATAATAATAAATAAATTTTCAGTTTGAGAGAATATAATCGTTCGGAATCTGAAAGGAGTTTCGACGAAGTTCAAATGAGGAGAGCGAGGCTTCAGTCATTGGGATTGGCATATTTAAGCCCTCAAAACAAGTCACTTGCTCAAAGTTTCAGGTACATGAGAACGAAACCTACAATTATCGCGTTTAAAACTCCGAGTTTAGAAAATTGCGAAGCACAAATAAATGCAATGACACTCGCTAAAAATTGTAAGGAATCAATTTATCCATTATTATTATTATTTTCTCGTGAATTCTTTAATATAATAATAATAATAATGATAATAATAATTAACAGATGCTAATAAAGAGAAAAAAGTAGAAGAAGGAAGGATAACAACGGAAAACGAATCAAATTCAGGTTCGAAATTTCCATTAACGTCGGTTAATTATCCGGTCGCGGGAAAACCTTTAGAGGTAACATCAATTAAGGTTTTTATTTTTATTTTAATAAAAAAAATTAACGCGAATAATTTTTTTTTTAAAATAGATTTTTATTGATGGACCTTACGGTGCTCCATCAAATCACATTTTCCGAGCCCAACATGCCGTTTTAATAGCAACCGGTATTGGAGTCACGCCATTTGCATCAATATTACAATCGATAATGCACAGATATTGGAAAGCTCGTCACACTTGTCCTCAATGTAAATTTTTTTGGGCAAGCGAAATACCACAAACAATAATGAATTTGAGAAAAGTAGACTTTTTTTGGATAAATCGTGATCAAAGATCGTTCGAATGGTTTGTTAATTTATTATCACAATTGGAAATAGAACAAGCGGAATTGGGAGTCGCCATGGAAAGATTTTTAGAAATGCACATGTACATAACGAGCGCTTTACAAAGATCCGACATGAAAGCTGTCGGTTTACAATTGGCATTGGATCTCCTTCACGAAAAAGTACTATAATTTTTTCTTACTTATGAGTTTATTATGTCCGAAACAAACAAAAAATCTACAATTTATAAAAAAATTTGATTTTTTTTTTTAAAGGAAAAAAGAGATTTGATAACTGGACTGAAAACAAGAACGAATGCGGGAAGACCGAATTGGGATAAAGTTTTTAAACAACTTTTAGATCAGAAAAAAGGAAAAATAACAGTTTTTTATTGCGGTCCCCCACAATTGGGTAGAATTCTTCGTCTCAAATGTGATAAATTTGGATTTAATTTTAGAAAAGAAGTTTTTTAAATCCGGATATCAACATTTTCCTTTTCCTCACTTTAAAATTTTTATATATAAATATCTGTATACATAATATTACGAACAAGTTTTTTTTTTTTTTGTTATGATAAAACGTTTTGTTTCATTATATAAAATTTAATTTTAATTCAATATATTTAGTGCCTAATGTATTATAATTATTATTATTATTATTATTATTTTATATTTTTAAAATATAAAAATATATATATATATTTTTTTAAATATCGTTTATTATATTTAAACAAAAAAAATACCACTTTGAGCCTTTCAACGTTCGTATTAAAAAAAATTTAAAATGTAACGGAAAAAAGTTTTTATTTACACACACACGCACAGATTAACCGTTATTATTTATTTTGATTATTTTTTAATTATTTATTATTATTATTATTTATAATTATTTATTATAAATTTTGCATTTTTTGTTTGTTTTTTATTTTAATATTGTTATCATAACATATGATGATTGATAAAATTTTACACATAAGTGATATAATAAAATGGAAAATGATGGGGAAAAATATAAACAATTATTATCATCAAGTGATTTAAATTTTAACGATAATGAAGAAGAAGAAGAAGAGGAAGAGGAGGAGGAAGAGGGGGAGGGAGAGAGAGAGGAAGGAGAGGAGAATTTAAAAACGTTTAATGTCATGAATGAAAAATCGAATAGTAAAAAAAAAAAAAATTATTTATTAAATAATAATGATTTTAAAGGAGAAATATCAATTGAATCCGACAATACAAATTATCCATCGACCTCGGATAAAAATGATTTTAATAAATACACGGTGAAAAATGTTTTTTTCGATTCTTGTAAGTTCCTTTTCCTCTTATTTTCTTTCTTTCTGTTTTTCGTAAATAAATAAATTTTTTTTTTAATAGATTATCCGAAAATTATAAGTAGTACAAGCGTTGAAAGTAGCAAATATAAAAATATAATAAATAAAAATATGAACGGATTTAAATTTATGAGTGGTACGAATAATAATAGCAATAATAATAAAATAAAATTAAAAAAAAGGAAAAAATTATGGAAAAAAATCAAAAGACCGAAAAATTTCAATGATGATAATAATAATAATAATAATAGTAGTAATAATAATAATAATAATAAAATGATAACGGAAACTTCATCGACCGGAAATGATAATAAAAATTCCCAAGAGATTATAAACGATATTGTTATGAGTAATTCGCAAACGGATGATTCCATCGATAAAAATGAGTCGAAAAAAATTAAAAAATTAAAAAAAGGAAACGAAATCGTTATCGATTTACCGGAAATGACATCGACCACCGAAGATGATTATTTTATTAATTTACATAAAAGAATTAAAATATTAGAATTTTTACTCGATGATCAATTAAGTAAAAAAAAAAAAAAATTCTTTTAGCCTGATAATTAAACAAAAAAATATAAAAGCAGACGATTTAATTTTTTTAATTCATATTTTCAGGTACATATTTTCCTATGAAAAAAAAAAAATTTACAAATGATAATAATAATAATAATATGTAAATTATTTTTTAATAATAATGATAATGATGGCATCGAAACCGATCAAGAGCTTGCAATTATTAATAACAGATTAAAATTTTTAGAAAATAAAATAATTAACGAACATCCATTTTTATCATCGAAAAGGTAACGAAACAAACAAACAAACAAACAAGCAAAAAAAAAACAAAATGGCTGCTTTTTAATTTAATTCTAATTTTTTTAATTTTTTTTTTTTTTTTTTTTATTTAACAGCGTGAAAAAATTAATTGTAAAATTAAAAAATTATTATAATTATTTAAGCGATTACGATGATATACCTGCACAAAAGTGTTTTCCCTACAATAATAATAATAATAATAATAGTAATAATACGGAAAGTGGAGATTATTATGATAAGACAACAAAACGAGATTTATTAAAAACCGGAGATAAAAGAAAAATTAAAGTGAGTTTATTTACTTATTTATTTTTTTTTTTTTAATTTTAAAATTAAGTTATTTATTTAATTAAATTTTTTTTATAAAATTATAATAGTTTAAATGATTGTGCAAATTATTAAATCGATAAAGAAAAAAAAATTAACGGTAAAAATTAAATTGACGTGGGAGCAGATAATAAAAAAGATACAAGATGTGCACGATTCGATGTATTAGATTTTGTTATTATTATTATTATTAAATTTCGATAAAATCTATTATTATTATTATTATTATAAAAATGAAGGGGGGGGAAAAAAGGTGGTCGTCGTCACGAAAATAATCTTTTGTAAAAAAAAAAAAAAAAAAAAAAAATGAAAAGCTTCCGTCGAAAGTGCGAAAAAAATTTTCTTTTAAAGTATTTCGAATGTGTGGATTTTTTTTTTTTACACGATTTGATATAAAATCGGATTATGTCGGCGATTTTAATAATAATAATAATAATAATAATAATTCGATCATTCGTGACTTGAACTTTTTTAAAAATTAAATTTTTATTTGTGGCACGTACAAAATTTAAACATCTAAAGACACG